CTTATGTTATATGAGATCCCATATATATATATAATATAAATATATATAATATATATGCTATGAATATATATGAATATATGATATAAATCTCATATATAATTCATATATTCCATATACTTCATATATGTGAGCTATATAAGAATATATATCATATGAGATATATATTATACCACATATATATTTATACAAAAGAAGATTTATGTAATTTATATAGATGAAATCTATATAATCATATATGAGATAATATATTTATATATGAAATCTACATAATATATTCATGTTAGATTATAATCATATACATATCATATCATATTATATCATATAGTCATATATATACATATCTATGTATGAGATCTTATGTATCATTTATATCCATATATGATCTTTTATATATGAGATCATTCATATATTACATATATGAGGTCTTATATGTAATATGCAAGACATATACATATTCATATATATACACACATGTATTTGATATATGATTGTGTATACAATTGTATTGGAACCACAAAGAGCTACAAAACAGAGTAATCAGCCAGGTGCCGCTGGTGGCTCATACCTGTCATCCTAGCTACCCAGGAGGCTGAGATCTGAGATTCCAGGTTTAGAGTCAGCCCAGGTAGGAAAGTCTGTGAGACTCTGATCTCCAATGAAACATCAGAAAACTGAAAGTGATGCTGTGGCTCAAAGTGGTAGAGCACTAGCCTTGAGCAAAAAGAGCTCAGAGACAGCTCCCAAGCCCTGAGATCAAGCCCATGACTGACAGGAGGTGGGGAGGGAGAGGAGAGAAGTCCATTTCACCTCCGCCATCTTGGTACTGGGGACTTTGGATACCCTGTCCATCAAGCAATTCCCACCTCCTCCTCCTACTATCTACTAGATTGTTAATGGCAGTTGAGGATCTAAGGAGCTCAGCCATCCATCCTTCTGTGACCAGTGACTAATGTCGGTCCTCTAAGCCAGAGTCAATCAGGAGATGGTAAAATGCCTGCCTTCTACTCCAGCTGAGTCCTAACCTACTTTATGCCAACCAGTGTGTTAAAAAAAACCTTCTTGAAATCATTCCTTAAAAACCTAGTTTCAATTTGTTCCTTAAAAGTTCCATCTCTGGTGTAAGCCCGAATTAGTAACTAGAAATTCTGCTTTCCTTTCTTTTTTTTCTCCTCTTTTCCAGCCCCTCAAGGCAGTTTGTGACTTCACATTGCTACTAAGAGAGAGAGAGGGGGAAAAAAAGAGTGTAATTGTGTGTGTAGATCCTTGCTCACACACACAGCCAACAGCTAGCGCCCGAAATACCTGCTGGCAGGTTGGATGGTTCGTGTTCAGTTTTTGAAAATGTTCTTCCTTCTGATTTTATATAGAATGGCTGAGGCACTTAACATTGCTGAGCTACTTTTCTCTCTTCCTCGTGTTAAGGAGTGTAGGGGGAGAAGAAAGAGATGTTGGCAAGGCTGTGGCCCTATAGGGAAGAATTTCCTAGCTCTCTGGAAGGAGAGCAGTCATAGAACTTGGTTAGCTTATCTTCAGCTAGCAGCCTTCTTTTTGGACATCTCCACCAACTTTTCCCTTCAACCCTCCCACCCACAACTTGTAGAGTTCATTTTCAATGTAGTGTCTAGTGAGGACCAGTGCTGCATCTGTTCACCCTTTGTCCCTCCATTTCTGTGCCCCTCGCCCACTCTTCCCAAAGACAGATAAGCTTACAAACCAGACAAAAGGAAAAGAAACCAAAATTACAGCAACAAAGGGAAAAAAACTGTCTTGTTTTCATTTCCTGGAGTTCATTTTGATAAATATTATTTTGTATGATCTGATGCACATAGCTATTGTGCCCTTGTGATCCTCTCCTAAGAAGATCTTCCTTTGGCCTCACTGTAGGGAATGTCTAGAGACCTGTATAATTTATCATGTCCTGGTGAATTGTTTTTGTCTTTTACCATCCAGTGTGTTTACTTGTAGATTTCTAGACAGATTCTAGGTATCACAAATGAGGGAAACCATGCAACCTGAGTTTTGTTGGGTCTTGGCTTACTTTGCTTAATAAGATTTTTTTTCCAAGTCTTTCCATTTCCTTACGAATAGTACATTTGTCATTCTTTCTGATAGAGTGGCAATTTCTTTCTTTCCTTCTTCCTTTTTTTTTTTTTTGGTTGGTCCTGGGGCCTGAACTCTGGGCCTGGGCACTGTCCCTCAGCTCTTCAGCTCAAGGCGAGCACTCTACCACTTGAGCCACAGAGCCACTTCTGGCTTTTTCTGCTTATGGGTTGCTAAGGAATGGAACTCATGGCCTCATGCATGCAAGGCAAGCACCCTACCACTGAGCCACCTTCCCAGCCCTGAGGGGCAATTTCTAAAGGCAGTAGATGACACAAGTTCTTGGTTCTGTTCATTCTTAATAATGGCAATATTTTCTTTGCCTCCTTTCTTCTTTGCTTCTTTCTTTCCACTCACATCAATAACGCCCCAACTGTGTGCGGGTCCAGCATTATTATGTGGTGGCCAAGCTGTGTTTCAGATGTATTCAGTGACACAGAGATAAATTCCCATACCACGGGGCTTTGGGGCTGCTGGTTAATCGCTTGCAATTTGCTTGAGCGTCGACTTGGCCAGCTCTCCAAATTACCTGGACAGCAAGCCCTGTGCGACCCGTGCAGTCATAGTCCTGAGACCCTGGTCCCTGTGAAACAGCAATCCCCAACCCCTCCGTGATGACAGGGCAGCTCACGTGGAGGATGCGTGGTGTCGAGGAAGGTTTCTCCACGGGGGTATTTATTCGCACAGGATATCAGATTGATGTGGCGCATTCTTCCAAACTACCCACTGAGGTGAACACCACGGATCAGTATTCCGGTTCTTCAGTGTGCTGACCACCTTGTTCCCAGACAGGAGATGTAGACGCAGGGCGTCTGTCTGTGAAAGAGGACAGCACCCTTCCCGGAGCCCGAGTTAGCTGTGAGGCCCCCCCCCTCCCCCCGTGTTCCGACTTGGCCCAGCTGGGGTAGGAGAATGCTGGCTGGCCGTTCTGATAGAGCCAGTAATGTACCCGATTGCTCACACACTTCGTTCCATCGTTTCCTCCCAGAAGCTAAAGGAATGAAAAGGAAAGCTTTCCCAGCAAGGGAAAGAAAAACAAAAAAAGAACACATATATTTAAAAAAAAATAACTGTTTCTCTTCACAGGCCTTTGACATGCATTTCAGGGCGGCACTTTACAAGCAGATACTCAGCCGCTTCACGAGGAGGAGGTAGAAGTTACCAAACCAAGGGAGAGCACAGAAATCACTCCCGAAAACACATTCAGTGAGGCCCCACAGATTGGTGTTTTGGTTTTTTTTTTTTTTTTCTTTTCGGAGAGAGCTATGAAATGGTGTCACCAGAATTGTTTTTTTTTTTTAAGCTCTTGGTTTTTTTCTTACTGAAAAACAAAATGTTGAAATGCCGTAGTGCTCTGGGAGGTGCGTGGCTCACACTGGTTTGGAGAAATGATCTTGCCATTTCTCCGCCAAACGTGATGGCTTCCAGAGGCGGCATCTCCCCGTGACTCACGCGGTGAGCTGGTGGGGGTGGCAGAGAGGCTGGTTATGGCTGGGAAAGGGAGATCCTTGTGTCAGCATTCCCTGTTGATTGAGGGTCTGGCCTCAGCCACCTGTCCTCTCTCTCTGCCCAGTACAGCTTTCTCTCTCTCTCCTCACTTCAATCTAACTAAGATAAATGTCTTCCTAACGTCTTTTTGTTGTTGTCCATCATGGGGCTTGAACTCTGGGCCTGGGTGCTGTCCCTCAGCTCTTTAGCTCAAGGCGAGCGCTCTACCACTTGAGCCACAGCGCCACTTCCGGTTTTCTGGTGGTTCATTGGAGATAAGAGTCTCACAGACTATTCTGCCCCGGCTGGCTTTGAACCGTGATCCTCAGATCTCAGCCTCTTGAGTAGCTAGGGTGACAGGCGTGAGCCACTGGCGCCCAGCTCTTCCTAACTTCTTAGTCTGCTTTCTAGAGGAAGCACCAGAAACCAGTGCTTTTGTGGCAGGGTAGGAACACAAATTCTGTCTGTCTCATCAAGAGGACTAAAAAAAAGTACCCAAGTACTTTTTGCAGGATTTTTTTCCTGCAAGGTGGGGGGAAGCATACCAGTGAAAAATGAATTTTGACATTAATCAAGGTACGTTGTATTGCTAAACTGCTTTCAACCCAAACGGCAGCTCCTTTGTACAACTACTTAAAGATAATAATAAATAAAAACAAAAAAAAAGAATTTTGATTCTGTGAAAACTGAAACTGATGCCTGTCCGTTCTTCAGCTAGGATGCAAATGAAAAAAACCAAACACATGTATTCTGAAGTTGTACTTTGGTGTCTTAAACTATTTCCTTTGATTTTTTTTTTTAATCCTGGTACTGGGACTTGAACTCAGGGCCTGGAATCTGTCCTTGAGCTTTTATTCATTGATTTTGCTCAAGGCTAGCATTCTACCATTTGAGCCACAGCTCCACTTCTGGTTTTGTGGTAGTTCATTGGAGATTAAGGGTCTCACAGACTTTCCTGCCCCCGAGCTGGGTTTGAACCTGAGATCCTCAGATCTCAGCCTCCTGAGTGGGATCACAGGCTTGAGCCACCAGAGTCCGGCTCTCCAACTACTTCTATGAACGGATGTAAAAAAAAAAAAATGATCATGTGGCTGGGCGCCGGTGCCTCACGCCTGTCATCCTAGCTACTCTGGAGGCTGAGATCTGAGGATCGCTGTTCAGAGCCCGCCTAGACAAGGAAACGTGCAAGAGACTCTGATCTCCAATGAACCACTCAGAAAACCAGAAGTGGCACTGTGGCTCAAGCGGTAGAGCACTCGCCTTGAGCAGAAGAGCTCAGGGACAGCGGCCAGGCCCAGAGTTCAAGCCCCATGACTGACCAGAAAGCAAAAGATGTTCTTAAGATTTCTCCGCTCGTGACTCCAAGGGCCCTGAAGCCAGAGGGTAACAGAGATGCCCTTGTTGTGTTGCAGGAGAGTTTGGAGAGGTGTACAAGGGTCGCCTGAAGCTGCCCGGCAAGAGGGAGATCTACGTTGCCATCAAGACGCTGAAGGCCGGCTACTCGGAGAAACAGCGCCGGGACTTCCTGAGCGAGGCCAGCATCATGGGTCAGTTCGATCACCCCAACATCATCCGTTTAGAAGGTGTGGTCACCAAGAGCCGGCCGGTCATGATCATCACGGAGTTCATGGAGAACGGCGCCCTGGATTCCTTCCTCAGGGTGAGCCTATGTCCGCAAGAAGGGACGGGGGTTCGGTGACATCCTGGGGGGTGGGGGCGGGGGTGTAGACCTGGCCTGCGGGCATGGCCCTTGGGTTTTGGAGACCTTGCTACAAGGAGAGAGCAAAGCAGAGCTTGCAGACGCCTGGGCGGCAGGAGGGCCTCAGAAAACGCTTGCTGGATGAATCCAAGAACGAGGTGGGAGGGGACAAACCCTGCTAGTCACCCGTGGCTCACGCCTGTCATCCTAGCGACTCAGGAGGCCGAGATCTGAGGATCGCGGTCCAAAGCCAGCCCAGGCAAGGAAAGTCCATGAGACTCCGCTCTCCAATGAACCACTCAGAAAACCGGAAGTGGCGCTGCGTGGCTCAAGCGGTAGAGCGCTCTCCATGAGCTGAAGAGCTGAGGGACAGCGCTCAAGCCCGGAGTTCAAGCCCCACAGCCGACAAAACAAAAATGGGTTTCCCTTTGGTAGGAAATGCCCAGGGCAGCGTCACCCTAGAAAGTAGCCCTTGTAGGTAGAGAAGAGGATGGAGAGACTCATTACCCCAGTGTTCCTTCAAGAAAGAGGCGCCTCTGGGGGGGGGGGGGGGGGACTTGTTTCCATCTGGGATTCAGGACCCAAGAGGCAAGCTGGGCGCTGGCATTCAGCGATGAGCATGCACACTGGGAGCAAAACCTCGAGGAGCAAGAAGCAGAGAAGGCTCAGCCAAGAAAGGGAGGGTGGAGAGGGCAGGGGCAGGGCCGGAGCAGAGGGAAGTGAAGCATTTCTGACTGCTCACACCTCGGCGGAGGCAGGTAATCTATAAATCTAATTTCAGCCTCACTACCAAACCCTGGGAGCATAGCAACATTAATTGGTGTATCTGCTGCTTGGTAAAATTGAAAAGAAATAGGTCATCAGTTCAATCCCACCGGGTCCGTCGCGTGGGAAGGAGGATAATTTTAGGATCACCATCCAGAGAAGAAAGGGAAAGGGTTAGGCCTCTGTGTGTGCAACTGTTTCTTCTCCTTCACCTTCCTGGATGCAGGAGCTTTGGAGAGCTGACCACAGGTGTAGCCCGGGGGTCGGGACACCAGAGATTCTCTTGGCTTATCGGATAACGCTTCCCCAAGGCTCGTCCACTCTCCCCTTCTCGTGGTAAAATGTAGACTCCATTATCTAGGACCTTAAACACTGCTGTTCTTCAACCATAGACCCCATGGATAGTTCCTTCTAATCCATGTTAGAAGAAAAAAAAAACCAACAGCCAGGCATTGGTGGCCCACGCCTGTCATCCTAGCCACTCAGGAAGCTGAGATCTGAGGATCATGGTTCAAGGCCAGCCAGGGCAAGGAAAGTCCGTGAGACTCTTTTCTCCAGTGAACCATTCAGAAGACCGGAAGTGGCGCTGTGGCTCAAGCGGTAGAGCTGCTAGCCTTGAGCTGAAGAGCTGAGGGACAGCGCCCAGGCCCAGAGTTCAAGCCCCACGACGCACAGAAGAAAAAAAAGAGTCACTGAGCCGCAGCCTACACATCTCAGATGTGTAGGAGAGAAGGCCAGGCTCGATCGGGCTGTAAGTCACCTCCCGGACCCCAAGCAAGTCCGTTAACTCGATTTTCCAATCTATAAGCTAAAAGCAGTGAGTCGGGTGAGCTGGGAAGTTTCCTCTTTGAGTCTGAAGAAAGAAAGGGGGGGGGGAATCTATGATTCATTCTCTTCAAACAAATCAAATAAGGGTTTCATTTCCTGAAGTGGATTTGTCAATGAACGTTGAAATACCTAAATCCTTTCCTGTCTCCTGGAAGGGCGGGCGAGTGACTTCAGAGCAGTTTCGGAAAAGCAATTTCCGCAGAGAGCCCTTCATGAGAGAAAGGAAGCTGAAATCACTCTACCCTGGGCCAGTATTTCTTCTCTCTACCATGGTGGTTTTTTTTCTTTTCCCCCCTCTCTAAACCAGTGGGCTTTTTCCAGTCACGGAGAGCTCTGTTGGTGGCGGTAGTAGGTTTTGTCTTCGTTTATCTGTTGAGGTTTTTGTTTGATGAGAGTGGCACCCGTGAAGGGCTGTGGCTCTTTTCCCTGCAGAGCGTACGCCGGCCCGGCCTTCTTTCCTAGCCGGAGCCACGCAGCCGCCATCACCAGTGGGTGGAGTTGGAGCCGTGCGCCATTCTGGGTTTGGGTCTCTGTGAGACCTGGAACCTACGCAGGGCGATCCCCACCCGCGGATGTGTGTGGAGGCCGAGATGAAGACCCGGCCACAAAGAAGGCATCCTAGACCTTCCAGTATGCAAGCTGAAGCAGATGTCCACAGTCGTTTACCCAGCGTGTTCATGTGGTGTTTTTTAGTTGTTCTTTCTTTTCTTTTTTTTTTCTGTCGGTCGTGGGTCTTGAACTCTGGGCCTGGGCGCTGTCCCTCAGCTCTTCAGCTCAAGGCGAGCAGTTCTGCCACTTGAGCCACAGCGCCACTTCCGGTTTTCTGAATGGTTCATTGGAGAAAAGAGTCTCGCGGACTCTTCCTTGCCCGGGCTGGCCTTGAACCGCGATCTTCAGATCTCAGCCTCCCGAGTAGCTAGGATGACAGGCGTGAGCCACCGGCGCCCGGCTTCATGTGCTGTTTTATGACCTGGAAGAGTTTAGAATCAAGCAGAGGCAGACAGACACACAGACACACACACACAGAGTTAAAACTGGTGATAGTGCCAAGAACAAGGCCGCTGTCTATAAGACCAAAGTGAGGCTAGGGTACAGCAGTAACAAGGTGGTCTCTGTAGTCTTAAGATAGCACCCAGCCCCCCCACCCCCAGGAGACACCTCCCCCTGCCTCCCGGGGCGGGGCGGGGCGGGGGGGGGGTAAGAGGGGGAGTCTCCTGGGCCTTTTGCTAAGGAACTTGGAGATTTTCCTTTAAGGCCATGAGAAGCTATTAGCCGGATGGAAGGCAGAGAGTGACATGGCCTGATTTATGTCTTTCAAAGATGGTTCTGGCTGCCATGGAGAGAATGGATTGCACAGGCCGGGAATGGGGGTGGGGGGGGGGGGCACGGGAGGCTGGACCAGGTGATGGATGAAGGCGACTCAGTTGGCATGGTGCGGTGGCGGTGGAGAGGGAATGGGGCGGACGGGCTTGGGAGGTAATTGGGAGATGAAATCGACAGGGCTTGGCGAGCAGAGAGCCCCGAGCTGTTGAGATAAGGGGCAGGGGGGAGGGGGAGCGGGCCACGGTTCCTGGTCTCCAGAGTAGCCATCATCCCAACTCAGACCCTGTGTGTGTGTGTGTGTCCACCCACAGCAAAACGACGGGCAGTTCACAGTAATCCAGCTGGTGGGCATGCTGAGGGGCATCGCCGCGGGCATGAAGTACCTGTCCGAAATGAACTACGTGCACCGAGACCTGGCCGCCAGGAACATTCTAGTCAACAGCAACCTGGTGTGCAAGGTGTCCGACTTCGGCCTCTCCCGCTACCTCCAGGATGACACCTCGGATCCCACCTACACCAGCTCCCTGGTGAGTCCTTCTGGGGGGTGCGTGGGTCTTCTCGGATGGCCGGATGTGGTTGGCAATCGGTGGGTTGTCCTGGCCAAGAATCAGAAGGGCCTGTGTGGATTCCGATGACCTGGAATTCCCCCAAACCAGAGATATCTTTGTCAGGAGAGTAAGGGTCAGGACTCTTTGGCACTTCCAATCCTTGATTGGGGCTGAACACCCTAGACTTGCCGTCTCCTTCCCTTTTCTCCTCTTCCTGGCTTCCGGACATCTTTCAGCACCAGCTATTTGTTGAGTATTCTTTTTTTTTTTTTTTTGTCGGTCGTGGGGCTTGAACTCAGGGCCTGGGCGCTGTCCCTCAGCTCTTCAGCTCAAGGCGAGCGCCGCTTCCAGTTTTCTGGTGGTTCCTTGGAGATAAGAGTCTCTCGGGCTCTCCTTGCCCAGGCTGGCTCTGAACTGCAGTCCTCAGAGCTCAGCCTCCTGAGTAGCTGGGATGACAGGCATTAGCCACTGGCGCCCGGCTTGTTGAGTATTCTTAAATCAGAATTTCCGATCACCTGCACCCAACTACCTCCTTCCACGCAGTGCCGTTTGGTGAACTTGGGCAAAGCCAAAAGACGGCCCTGGCTTTCCTCTCCCATCTCCCCGCCCCCTCCTCGTCTTCTCCATCTTTGTCGTTGACTCCAATTTAAGTAGAGACTGAAACCTAAACAGTCAGCCTTGGGTTTTCCCTTGCGAATTCCCCGTGCGCGCGCCTCAGAGACTCCTGTTCGCTTGGACCGTCACAGCCGCCACCTAACGTCTAACTAGTTATTAATGAGCGTCGGGTGTCATCTCCTCATTCCCAGTTCCAACAACATCCGAAGTTACTGGTCCTACTGTTTGCGAATGTACAGTATAAGGATCAAACCAAGGATACCAGTGACTCACACCTGTAATCCAGCAGGCTGAGATCTGAAGATCGAGGTTTGAAACCAGCCAGGACAGAAAAACATCTCTGAGACTCTTACCTCTAATTCATTACCAAATAGCCAGAAGTAGAGCTGTGGTGCAAGTGACAGAGTTCTAGCCTTTGGAAGCAATGCGGCGTACATCGGTGCCAACTCACCCAAATCCTGATGTGAGCCAGCTCTTCAGCGCCTAAGGAATTCTGTTTCATTCTTTCTGAAGTGTGTGTGTGTATACATATATATGTATATAATTTTTTTTCTCTTGGGGCCTGGGCGCTGTCCATGAGCTTTTCCTGCTCAAGGTAAGCGCTCTACCATTTTGAGCCACAGCTCTACTTCCAGTGTTCTGGTGGTTCACTGGAGATGAGAGTCTCATGGATTTTCCCACCTGGGCTGGCTTTGAACCGCGATCCTCAGCTCTCAGCCTCCTGAGTCGCTAGGATGACAGGCGTGAGCCACCAGCGCCCAGCTTGAGTTGTTATATTTTTACTCAGCATGCACATATTTCTCTTTATCCCCACCGCGCATAACTCTGCTTCTCGCCCTGATTTCATATGTCAGCAGTGCGACGATGTACAGACTCTGGCTTCTGGGACACTGACCCAAAGAATACTGATACGTTGGAGGCGGCAGGATGTTCAGTGAGTCCCACGCAGGCTGCGCGGGTGATGTCTGCCTGGGACGGCAGCCCAGTCCCCGGCTCCCGTGGATTATTTTTTTTTTAGCCCATCTCATACGGGCACGGTTTGGGGTCACACAGAAAATTGGGGCTCTCCCTCCTGTCTGGCAGCCCTGGAGGCTTTTGCCCTGGACCTCCTGCCTTTGCTTCCTCTAGCCAGAGGGACAGGTGTTTCCGCTGGAGTTGTGGTGGTAAGCAGACCGCAGAGCCTGGCGGTGTCCACAGAACCACACTGCCAAGGGGTAAAGCTCGCCTCCTTCAGTTTCCAGAAACTTCAGGCAATTTTTGTTCTCCTCCTCCTCTTCCTTCTCCTCTTCCTCCTCATCTTCTTCCTCATCTTCCTCCTCTTCTTCCTCCTCCTCTTCTTCCTCTTTCTTTTGTTCTTCTTCCTCCTTTTCCTCCTGTTCCTTTTCCACCTCTTCCTCCTCCTCCTTTTCCTTCTCTTTCTCTTCCTCCTCCTCTTCTTCTTCCTCCTCCTCTTCTTCTTCCTTCTCCTATTCTTCTTCCTCCTCCTCTTCTTCTTCCTCCTCCTCTTCTTCTTCCTCCTCCTCGTCCTCTTGTTCTTCTTCCTCCTCTTCCTCCTGTTCCTTTTCCACCTCTTCGTCCTCCTCCTTTTCCTTCTCTTTGTCTTCCTCCTCCTCCTCCTCTTCCTCTTCCTCCTCTTCCTCCTCTTGTTCTTCTTCCTCCTCTTCCTCCTGTTTCTCTTCCACCTCCTCCTTTTCCTTCTCTTAATCTTCCTCCTCTTCCTCCTCTTCTTCCTTTACTCATCTCTCTTCTCGTCTTCTCTCCTTTACCCTCTCTCCTCTCTTCTTCTCCCTTATCCTCCCTCCTCTCTCCTCTCTCTGTACTCTCTTTTCTCTTTTCTCCATCTCCCCCTCTACTCCCCCTCCCCTCCCTTTCTCTCTTCTCCCTCTCATCTTTCTCTTCTCTCCTCCTGTACTCCCCTCCCCTTCCCTTCTCTCTCCTCCCTTACCCTCCCCTTCTTTTCTCTCCTCTCCTCCCTTACCCTTCTCCCCTCCTCTCCGCTCTATCCTCTTTCCTCCTCTCCCTTCCCCTCTCCTCCTCTCCCCTCCCTTCCCCTCCTCTCCCCTCCCTTCCCCTCTCCTCGCTTCGCCTCTCCCCTCCCTTTCCCTCCTCTCCCCTCCCTTCCCCTCCCCTCGCTTGGCCTCTCCCGTCCTCCCCTTGTTCCCAAGAGAGCCTCCTGGTGGCACACACACCCCTCCACCCAGCAGAACCTGGCAGCTTCATACCCTGAAGCGCAGGCCTGTAAGACGGGCCTGAAGATCCTGCTGCCTCCCCTTGATTCTCCTGCTGCACGCAGCTTCCCCCAAGGTCTTCCCCTCCCGCCCCCCACATCACCGTCTTCTGCTATACCTGGTGCCGGTCCTGTAAGCGCGGGCCTCTTTAATAGCTGCCCAAGGCCTCTCCCCTTTCCCGGGTGGGCCCTCATCCCTCATCCTCCCAGCTTCTCTCCACCCCTGCTTCTTCTCCGCAGGTGTTCCTTCTCTGTTTGAATGTGTAATCTGCAGGCCCCAGGAGCATCCCCCCCCCCCCCCCCCGGCCCCGCCACACACACCCCAACAGACTCCTGCAATCATGAACAGATAAAACCCGTTCCTCTGTGCTTCCTTATGATTGCAATAAACTCCCGAACCCGGGCAAGCTCTGGGCTGCTTACATCGCCTCCCCCCCTAAGAGGGGCAGAGAAATGGGGGGGGGCTGCTCCCCGCACATACAGGTGCATGGCGATTCACCCAGCTCACCTGTCTGACAGATAGATCCCTCAAATACACATTCAGACACACACACACATTGTATCCCAGTGGCAGAAAGCCAAGGATCCAGGCTGGAAGAGTCCTCTGCTACCCAGCCCATCCCAAGACAGGAAGGCAGGGAGCATAGAACTTGGAGCTTAGCGGCCTTATCTGTCCTTCCTGCCAGGCCCCAGCTCAGCCCAACCTTGGGAGCTGGCGCAGCTCTCTGAACACCCCCTCCGTGGGTGAATGGCTCCCCACCAGCACACGTATGTGAGCACACAGACGTGCTCACACGCGTGCAGAGAGAAAGGTGGGTGGCACAGGCCTGCGTGTGTAGGTCTGTAACGCACAGCAGACACGCAGGAAGACACACACACACAGCTCCAAGTGTAGCACTGGGGAGAAAAAAAGTAGAGCTGGGATTTTTTTCCCCCCTTCTGTCATCACTGAGATATTTGCCTGCTGTAGTACTTATTTTTTAGATCTTTTTTTTTTTTTCTTCTCCCGTACTTAAAGACTTCTAAGTATTAAGGTGCAAAGAAAGCAGAAAAATTATCTCAGAGATCATTCTCCCTGTGAGCTTTTTAGGAAAAAGAGAGAGATAGAAAGGAAAAAAGAGTAAGTACCGTCTCCCATCTGTGCTTTTCCTGCACCTCTCTAAGAAGCTGCTGCTTGCTGAGAGTCGTCGCACAGGCCTGGAATCCCAGCAGCTAGATTTCAGGCAGAAGCCGAACGAGTTCAAGGCCAGCTTGGGCTACAGAGGGAGGCCCAGGCTCTGTCTCTGTCTGTCTGTCTGTCCGTCTCTCTGTCTCACTCTCTCTGTCTGTCTTTCTGTCTGTCTCTCTCTCTCTCTGTCTCTGTCTGTCTGTCTTACACACACACACAACTATTGAGTAATCCTTCCTCTGCCTGCAGACATTGGGCCGGGCTGTGCCCTGCTTCCTTCAGAAAGAGAACATTTTACCAGCTTTCCGTCGTCTAATAACCCCCAGATCCCACTCTCTCCCCCAGCCCTCCCTCACCTCAGGATGATTTTGCATTTAAATCACACCGCCCCTCCCGGTAGGATCCATCCCAGGCCTCCCTCCCTCCCTTCAGGGGCTCCCATTCAAAGTATGATCTCCAGCTTCTCCTTAAATCTTAGCGGGGCTTAGGGAGCGAACCGGTCTCCCGGAGGTGGATGGGGAAACGGAGAGGAATGAAGATGAGCAAGGAAAAGATGGGGAGGAGGGGAGGGGAGGAGACGCTTTCATTGCACGCAGCCAGCACGCAGCGCAGGCCTGGTCCCCTGGACATTCTCCGGCGTTAATTAAGCTGAAGGAAGAATCACACAAATGTCACTCCACCCGGCGCTCTGCCACTCAAATGATCCTCCCTCATCCACGGGGCTTCCGGCCTCCTCCCCCCTCCCTCCTTTCTCCCTGGGTCACTGTCAGCAGTTGAGCACGGAGGGACTGCAGGCCCGGTCTGCAGGGCCCTTTTTGTTTTTGTTTTGCATTTCTTTTGCCAGTCCTAGGGACTGAACAGTTCAGGGCCTGGGCGCCGTCCCCGAGCTGCTTTTGCTCAAGGCTAGCGCTCTACCACTTGAGCCACAGTGCTACTTCCGGCTTTTTCTGTGTCTGTGGTGCTGAGGAA